TGTTGAATATCATATACACATTATTGCTTATATTTCTTTCCTTTAAATTCAGTGACAGGGAGTTGTTTCATCGGTACAGGGCTTTGAAGTGGAGTTGAATAGCTTAGTGATTAAGATGCTTGCTTTCCAATCCCAGGGTCATGGCTTCAATTTCTCTCAGTGTTGCGAATATTTTTCTCATGACCAGAACAACTCCACTCCCTAAGGCTTAGTTTGTGTAGGGCATTGTGTGTTTGTGTTTTGTTCGAAATTTACAAAATAATTTATAAAAACGTATTGAGCTCCAAGTTTCTATGAATGAAAAAAGTTTACAAGGTGATAAAAAAATAAAAAAACAATAAAAATAATTATGAATACAAAACTGCTAATATGGTAAAAGTATAGTGCAGTGGCAGCAGATTACAAGTGTCATCGACAGCATTGACCAACCATTAACTTCTAATGCAAACACACAATCCCAATACTGTAGCCTACAGCAGCTACCATCTGCTATTTCCACTTTAAAATAAACCCTTTAAAATATTTTTTTTTCCCCATTCAGTGAGGATGATATTAATACTGTTGTCACCGGTGTACGGCCTGGCTACTGCTACTTCAAGAGACTTGTGGAAGCTGTGGATACTTACATTAAAGAATGCTCCATTAATACTGATCATAGTGAAGAATCATAACTTGTATCCATATTCATTATTAATTGTCATTATTATTATTCTTATCTAATAATGGTATAACCTGAATCTATATTTTATTATTGTTTTTATTATTGAATCAGCTATGGCTACATTTATATTCAGCATATCACTGCAGAAAATGAAATAGTTAATCATTAATCACTATTTAATGATCTAGATCAGCGGTAAAATCTGAAGAAGAAAAATTAATTTCCAAACTTAATTGCACATTTAAAAGAATTAAATGAGTTTATCAACTTCCAATCACACAGATTACAAAATAGATTTCCTTGATTTATACACATTTTACTGTAAAGAAAAATAATTGATATCAGACAATTTAACTGTCTATGAAAGAATATAGGCACAGTATCATTTTTAGATTTGTTAATTATTGTCAATTTTCCCTGTTTCTAATTCAAATTTGGAATAAGGTAATAAATTCAATGCAGAAAGTAAGCAATTAAAAGAATTTAATTTTAAGCTACGTTCAGGCATATCTAACGCCAGACGTAGGTTAATCCTTGGCGTAACTAGCAAGATGCCCAGACTGGCCAATTAGCGTATCGCTAGCGTAAGTATTCACGCGAATATTTGTATTAGTAATCATGCATTTTATGTCCTGTTCACATCTAGACTTATTGTGACTGGTCAAGTCCTGGTCGAGTTCAAAGTCATTGGTGCATGACTTTCGTAACTCAGTGATGTACGCTAGTCTGGGGTCCGTTGGCGCGTTAATACTGGCGTTCGCTACCCTGCGCACAAGTTCGCCCCGCTCGTATGAAGGATTGGAATATATATAATCAGCTCTCTGCTGACTTATTCTAACATGACTTGTAAACAGTATTAATTGCACTCAAATCTATCAGTTATCAATTTATACTCTAGCTAGAGACAACAAAAAAATACCTGGTTATGTTTTATTTCCATTTAAGTCAGTCTAACAGTTTAAAAACCCTACGTCAAGGCAGAGAGCCTGGGCTGCAGCACCACACAGTGTTTTTTACCATGGTACCTTCATTTTTTTTCTTTAGAGGTGTCAGAATACAAGAACTAAAGATGTTTTTTAATGAATTTTGTTGTGTGTGTAGTATGTATTTTGCATAGCACTCTTATATTTGATGTTTAATTTTTGTATAAATCTTAGAATACTGTATGAGATTTACAGTAAATTAAATGATTGATACTTAATATTTGTCATTCAGTTATGTCCTATTGGTGTGTAATACTATAGTTTGTACAATTCAGGAATTTTTAGATAAGGAAATGTATGATTATTACATGGGCGATAGGTGTAGATCGTTTAACCAATAGATCGCATTGAAAACTTCACTTGTCTGCCATCTTTGTAGAGATTACATTCGACCCAAACCACCTCCATTATAGTACTATGTAACTACTCTTATTTAAGGTGTGGACTAGATCGTATAGCTACTCTAGTCTGTCCACAACAGGGGATGTATGGTCCAGTACCCTGGGGTAACCCCAAATCGTATTGGATTCTTTAAAGTACATATGGGTCAAATTGTGTACACTGGGCCTACGGTTTATAGTCCTTATTTGAGAAGACTTGTTCCACCACCAGAACCATAGACAAGTGAGCTGTTCAAACCAGCTCCAATATTATAGCTTTACATTGAGTGAACACCTTAGATGCACATAAACCTGTTCTTAATCTTCATTTTACACGAATCAAAACATGTTGTTTATGCTGTTAAAAGCACTTTATTATATTTTGCAAATGCCTATAGCCCTTGCCAGTAATCATTTTTAGAAGGTAGGCTATATGGGCCAATCAAACCCGTCAGCATTTTTAAAAAAATTTCAGATTTTCAATATTCAGTCTCCCATTTTCAAAATCCCGAATCTACTTGTAACTGGCCAGTGGACATACCATGTATAATGTATATAATTTATTTCAATAAAATGAAATACTGTATGGGTAGCCTTGAATTTTACCTTGTGTATTATTTAGTTTTTGTTTGCTTATTCCACATCAGATCGAACTCATTGAGCTGTCAACAATTTTAAAAGAAAGATTTTTTATACATAAATCGCAGTATGTTTCCAGGTACGGTCCGAACCCCTCCCCCCTCCACATTCTACATTTTTGGGAATACTGTAATAATTGTAGAAAAATTGAAAATTTCATACATTAGCCCCAAACATGGTGGTCTTGACCATCTTTCTGTAAAAACTCCTTCCACATGAGCCACTAAAGGCCAACTCAGACAGCGTCGGCCGACGCGATTTGTTGTCGCGTCGGGTCTGTGCGAGTTGAACGCAGACGCGATGGTGTGCGTCGGGGGCAGTCGCGTAGTAGAATATTAAACGTGTTTAATATTTCTCACGACGGCTTTTAAGACTGTTCCGACGATAAATCAGGTCGGGCTGCGTCGGCCGACGCTCTTTGAGTTGGCCTTTAGAGTTCCTGGTCCACCCCTGTTTCAAGCCGAATTTTCATCTATATACTGTATTTATAAATGATGATGATGATAATCATGTTAATATTTTTCCCCATTTTCTTATTCAATAGACTTTTTCATTTCTTCTCGGTTGAGAACATGAATATTTCTGACGTGATACAATATGTTGTGACTCTAGATGACGTTGAAATTTGTTGTTCATATTATTCCTGAGTTGTTAATAACATCCGTTTTCCTTAAAACATTCTTATTATCTTTATTGCCAAAACAACACAAACAGCACAAACAAACACGAGAAGTTGGCAGGAAAAACAAAAGCGAACCTAATCGCTGTAAAAAAAAAAGTCCGTGTTTCCAACTCACCAGTTTCACATTAAAAATATTTAAAAATTGATTAAAATAAACTTAACATACAGCAATTATGATGTTCTTGTCTCTACGATAAGCCTATATTTGTAATATTTAGCAGTTTATCTCATAATCCGCATCCCATTACAGTGGTTTTTCAGTAAACTATTAGATCCCTTTGATTTTGTTTTTGTGGAATTAACAGCTGTAGTGTCAAGCCATATTTTGAATCCATTCTGCCAAATGTTATTTCTGTTTTCTGTATCTCTTTTGAATGTCCAATTTAGTCATTTTTTTAATGCCTTTTGGTGTGAAAATATGAGGTAATTCAAAAAGTCGCCTGTCACCACTTATTCTTTCATGTACACTAATAGAATTTTACCTACTGCACTTATTTATTCTTGTTATACTATTGTGAACAAGTGAAATGAATTTATTTGAATTTTAGAAAAAGTAAACAATTGTAGATCAAAAATAAATACACACCACATTACTAAAACATAATGGTTACAATATGTGCCCGTCGATCCAATATCTCTATGATCCAATTGACCTTTCTGAGTCGGGGTGTCAATCAAAGATTTCTCTATTATCAAACAAAATATATCAATCAGAACAGTGCCCGGAATATTTGCGTGTCCAAAAAAACACGTCTTGTCTCACAGTCGCACATGTTTACATACATTTACATCAGGAAGCAGTCTTACTATGTAATATGACTGCTCTCAGATTTACGTGATTGATTTGTGGGACCTTAGCAACAATATCCAAGGGGCGGGGCTTAGGAGTAAGGTCAATTACAATGCACCGGGAGATATAGCAAAAGCCTAAGATAACACTGAATGGAATAGGTACGCAGCAAATTGGTGACATGATGCCTTTATTTCTTTTTCTGTTTTACAATTTTATTCGTTTCAACAGATGGGTAGATTTTAATTTTAAAATACAGCAAATTGTTCTGTCTATATTTCTTTTTCTGTTTTACTGTTTCAACAGATGGGTCGATTTTATTTTTTAAATACCAAGTTGAATCTGCTGAATAAACACAAAAACGTAAAGTAAAGTAAACAAACAAAACGAAAGAATTTGTTTTACTGTGTGTACAAAGATACCTGTACTAATATTTATATGCATTTCTATCTGAATATAAAAATGAAATTACAAAAATATAAGAAATACGCCAGTGTTCAAAATTTCATTATTCACATTCTAGTCCAATCAAGTTAAAAATTATTATATAATACGAATTACTGTTGATGGTCAAAGACATCATCTGTTCTAAACATCAAACTGCTTTGGTATTTTGACTGTCCTGTGTGAAACTCCGGTCGAAGAGCGGTGTATCTGTCGTACGAAGGTTTCTTCACCTCGACTCGTTCCCTGGGCTCAACTTTGTTCATTCGTTCTCGTTTATCTAGATATAAGCTCTCATCGTGAGGACCTTTGGAGATGATTCCACTCATTTCACAATTCTAAGAGAGAAAATGTTACTGTAATAATTCTATGACAGCGATGTGAATTGAGGTTCTGTATTCCAAACCTCAAAAATCCCCAGATTACAGTTACAGTGAGAATAATGGTAATCTTCATTGTTAACAAAGAAGATACAGTAATGCACACATCAATAATTAATTGTTTAGCAATTTGCCATAATATTGATAATTTGATGATAATTTCACAAACCTTTACAATAAGTTCTCTGTTTCTCATATCAGTCTTCCACTCTGGCACATATCGTTTTGGTATAACTGGATGTAACTTGGAAAACTTTGGAACACTGTAATTATATAGAAAAAACAATTGATAACATTAAGGCACACCATCTGTCATAAAATGGTATACAGTATATTTAAACATCGAATAGCTTTGATAAAGTAGTGTTAGTGGTAGTAGTATGGCCTAGCCTAGTAATAATATAGGGTCTAACTAGGCCTAGCCTAGGCATAAATAAAGGGAGAGGCTACCTACAATACACACGTATAAAAAAAGAGGAAATTTTAAATACTACTTGTTAATAAATGTTACCTGTGATAACAGGACTTTGAAGTTCGGCCTACATGGTCTGCCATAATATTAATAAACAATACCTGGAGAGTAGAGTTAGAGTAGAGCCAAGCCTAGACTTAGCTTATTATAATATAAAGTTGTATCAAACTGCTGGCAGCATGTGTTGTTGTTTACTGTTGTTGTCATGGTTCATGGTTGGATGTGATCGACCTATTCTCCTAAATCCCCCGAATGTAAAAGAAATCTTAATATTTATATTAATTTAAAAAGATATTATAATTAATTTATATTATATATGCATAATTGATTAAGTGATATAAATAAATAAATAAATAAAAGATGGTTTTCGTATTTGTTTCTGAAGAAGTTGTTTTAGGATTAGACCCAGTGTCAGAGGTTAATAAGGTCAACTTTTCGGTAACATGTTTCTGAGTACTCGTACTTTTCAATTGTTAAATATAATTTAATTTATGGTATGTTTTGATGTACTGTATTAATCTTTGCTGCATATGTATATTGGCAATTCAGTTTTAGTATTTTCTAAGCTTGGCTGATGGACGGGCTTAGTTTTAGTTAGTTTAGGCTTAGGCTAGTCTCTAGACCACCATTTACGCAGGCTCTTGTCACTCTCTGCCGCCTCCTCTGTCGATCCTCCATCTAGGCCTCGCCACCTGGGCCCAGAGGCCTAGCTAGCGTTTTTTTCTTCAGCGTCGTGCAACTAATCATATAGCTTATAGAGAGCGGCCAGTAATGAAATTTACTAGTGGATACTGTTACACTTACTTTCCTCCTTAGTCTTTAAACCAATTTTTTAAAGTACAGTATATTTCATTCTGTGAAATGAAACAATAATACTGTAGTGTAGTATGTCGTGCACAATTTGAGACTTTTGTACAATTTGCAAATTGTGCAAGCTCTTCCTTGCACAATTTGAAAACTGCAAGGATTTCTTTGCAATTTAAACAAAAAAAATTTTAAGAATATGATTTAAGAAATAGCATATATAGGCTAAATTGACAACTAGAAAAAGCAGAATATGATATCAAAATTGGAAGGAAAAATTGAAAAGTCGATCAAAAACAAATCACAGTTAATACATCAAAATGCGAGACTTAAGCCTACCCTAGCATATAGGCCCTATTTAATCATCATAAAAGTTGCATGATTCATTGTGTTCACTTTTTTGCTTTGACCTTGTCCTATTTTAATTATATAATCTGTTTGTTAACTTATCAATCAATTAATCAATTAATGTTCAATTTAATATAATTTCTTTAATAATTCTAGCCTAGGTCTGGCCTAGGGCTAGATTACTAGAGGCTACGGTTAGCCTGAAATAGCGGCCCAGCAGCAGACTAGTATGGCGATAAAGACGATAAGTTAATATCAATATCGGTAAATAAATTTAAATGTCACATTTTATGAAAAAAGAAACGACTGTGAAACAACATCAGCAACTCAAAATCAGCAAATGGAACAAATTGCACACAACATGTATCTTACAGTACTGTACAACAATTGATGAATTGTGTTTTCTCCTCAGCAATATGTTTGGAACCAGACAGTTTCTAAGTACTCTTTTCAAGGGTATCAAGAATACAAGTCTTCATATACCAGGTACTGAACCTTTAGTATTTCTTATGATTGTCAACATAATTACATAAGTCTATTTAAAAAATAATTTAAAAAAATGTTAAACCATTTATTTCTTATTAGAATTAATTATTATGTGATTACTTACACAAATTTAAACTTGCAGGATTAAATCGTGGACTGTTATCCAAGGTTATGTTGCCATCATCGACTCTGATCCAATCAAGAGATAGGTCATTACTAACAATGCACATAAAAGGGCCATTTAATTACAAGAAGAAAAAAGCCGACAGAAACAAGAATCATCCGATGGACTTCAGGCCCCAAATGAAGGGGGTTGTACTAAAGACACTGATCCGCAAGCCTAAGAAACCAAATTCTGCAAACAGAAAATGTGCTAAAGTACGGCTGAGTAATGGTAAAGAGGTGATTGCTTTTATTCCGGGCGAAGGACATACTTTACAAGAGCATAATATCGTTCTGGTGGAGGGTGGGAGAACGCAAGATTTGCCTGGAGTTAAGCATACCATAGTCCGAGGAAAGTATGACTGTGGACATGTAATAAAGAAGAAAAAATAGAGTTTAAAGTAAAAAAATTCATAAATTTTTACAGATTTTAAAAATTCGTGACCAGCGGTGTAAAAGCGGGCACTCACTGTGTCATACGACGACTCCAACTCCGTTCCCTGTGAGCGCTAGACAACGCGACACCCACTGTCTGCTGATAAATTTCAATTAATTGCCCAGTGAAAATGGGGATAACAACAACATAGCATAAAGGAAAGTCAGTCAATTCGAGCGAATGCCAGTTCGAGAGGATGCCAGTAGGAGTGCATACGAGTTGAAGCGCATGCATTTAGTGCAAACTATAACAAGGGCAAATTTATCATCAGCCTATTCTTGTATTTGTGAGTGAAATTGTATTTTGGTACTTTTGATAATTATTTCATGTTTGAATTTCCCCATCATAGAATTTTAATTGTAAAAGCTTGAGTCTCGGCTCAAAGTAGGAAATCTTAATGTAATTCGTACATAACTTGCACAGGCTGTTGTTCGCATAAGTGGATCATTTTCCGTTCGAACTAGCATCCGGTCGAAGTAATTTCTGCTCGAACTTGCATTCGCTCGAATTGACTGGTTCACATGTACAGATATATGAGGATTTGTTTAGTTCAATAAAATAGATTTAAAAAATGTGGACATTTCACCATGTTTTGGCCATTTTCTTAGTAACATGATTTGCGATGAGTGACTGGTTTGGCTTGTCTTTGTGATAATTATCAATTGTGTGTGCATGGTGATGTTATGTTCTCCTTTAAGTTGCATCGGTCAACAACCGTCAGGAGCAGTGGGTGCCCAGTTTTAGAGTGTAAAGAGAGAGATGTGATAATGACTCGCGTTCTGAATTTTGTGCTGACTGTCAAGAATAACCTGTGGGCATGTCCCATTCACCAGCAGCTTTAGGGTGATTTGCCTGCATCGTGTCTTTTGTGGTATTTAAATTTTCGGTCGTGTATATATAACTGGTACCTGCCTTAATGTTAGCATTGTAGGACAGGATTTTACCAAGTTCTATCAGCTATATATATTCTGTCGTTAATTTTATTTTATTCTGCACTGGAACTTGAAGCCAACCATAAATACAATGCAATACTGTACAAGATGATAAGTACAATACAAAATAAATAAGTAGATGATAAGTACAATACAAAATAAATAAGTAGATGATAAGTACAATACAAAATAAATAAGTACCTGTAGCAGGTATGGTAAGAACATAATTAATTTTATATCCTACAGTAGTTGTGTATGTAGGCATATAAACATAGGGGTGGTGGTGGCAGTAGCAAGTGAAACAGCTAGGCCCAGGCCCAGCTATTGGGGTTGTCAGGGGGTTGTAAAATCTATTGGGGGAAAATTGGATATTATTCCTAAGCCACAGACAGCTGACTTAAGAGTGCCATTTTCAGGCACCTACAGGTGACATACCCTTTTTTTTTATCACCTCGACCATGTTGGGACTGAGGTGGTCTTGGCCCATCTGTTGGGGAAATTCTGACTCCACTGCTGCATGAGGGAAAGTGAGGGAAACCTAGCTGGAGTAATGAGGTTGGGGGTTGGGTTGCAGTGGTAGTGGCAGGGATGTATTTGCCACCCTGTCAGACAGGCCTGGACCCCCTGCTGAGAGACCCATGGTTTGGATCCTTCCGTCAGACAACTTTATGCAGATTCCACAAGTAAATCTGAAAATGGAGAAGGGGATTTAAAAAAGAAATAGGAATGATAATAATATTCAATGACCACTCATACCGTAATACACTGTGTTGCTGATTAGATGAGAAGGGAAATCCCCTTTTACCTCATACCTTCTCAGTAAATTTCATTAAAGATTACAGAATAAATTCAGAATTGTCAAATGTATTACTACTGTTTCTTGATTCTTTTTTCCCCTCAAAATTCTTTTACATAGACCTACTGTACATCCCTTTGGGACAAAGGTAGAACATTTTCTTAATATAGTCACTGAATATTTGTCGTTCACAAACTTGACCCTGTAACTTAATTCATGCAAAAATGTATCCATAGATAATTATTTTCAGATATACCTCAGATTAAATTTGTAAGAAAATACACTTAATAGGCCTATGTGTAGTAAACGGCGGCTGCATACAATTTATTTACTACATACAGTATGCAACGACGCTATCTTGCTATGCACGAAACGATACACTCAAATATAATAATGACATTGTAGGCCTACGCTTGCAATGCCAATGCACGCAAATATCATACATATGATTTCATTGTCGAATAGTCACACCAAATTATATATTTTTCATGGTGTTGACAATGTCTATAATGCTTTTCATTGTTTATAGAGTACCGTATCCTTAAATCCCCTCAAAATACCCACCCCAAGTTACGTAGTAGGCTGCTAAATACTGTAATTAAATAATATGCCACGGAGCAGCCATACTACACGGTTTATTTGTAATAGCTTCAAGGCTATACCAATACACCTAAGATTCTCATTTCCGATGAAGCCCAACGACGTACACTCCTTTTATCGTCTCTATAATATTAATAAACAAACAACTTTGATACTGAATCAAGTGCGTGAAAATAAGATTTTCCTTAAGAAAATACATTGTTGATGTCGTCAAAACGCACAGTTCAGTTAGGTCTACTGCATATGCGCAGAATGTATGGGTTTGAATCAGATTATGTGTTTTTATAGATATTTTGGAGAAAGCATAAAAATTCCTTCACGTCAATATAATGATAATGGATTTTGTCCATTGCTCTTCAGTTGAGAAGTTGTCACCGTGCACGACAACGTCATTCTTAGACCTATTACTGCAGTATTGGTGAACCGTCAAACTCTACGGACGATGTTCAGGGAACGAAATCCGTCCCAAAAAAATAGCAAACTATAAATGTATGTAAATGACATTTTAAAACATTTTTAACGTTATACCTAGGCTGAATATCAAAAATAATGTATTAATTTTGTCATTATTTTCAAGACACTGTTTTAATGATAATGTAATTTTTTTTTACATGAACCCCATGTCATACAATAAAGGAAATTTGAACTCTTTACGCGCATTCTTTAATGACGTACGTGCAAATAAAAAAATATATACGCAACCTCGATTACCTCATTCTGGTCGTTAAAAAAAAACAAAAAAAAAACAAACAAACAAACAAACAAACAAACGCTTAGTGCAGTCTTCTCAAATTCTGTTTCAGATGTATTTGCATTGTGGATAGTCCGCCGAGTTGGACCAGCACAATTTCTTGAGTACCCGGCCTACATTAATAAATACAAGTGAAACGTAAACCTATATCATATAATAATTAATAAGTATAACACTGTTGTTGATGATGATATAGTGAAGATGCTGATCGATTAGTAGGCGAGACTTTTTTATACCTTTTTCACGAACTTTTTTTATTGGTGAATGCAAACAGTGTAGTAATGAGATACGGTAGGTAAATGCCTTAAACTTATATAGGCCTAATTAGGGAGGCCTATCTTGTTTTGTTTTTTTTAATAAAGAAGAACTTTTACTTTTTTTTTCTGAAATTTCCATTTTTCGTGGCAGTGGGTGCGCTAATTGGCCAAAAATTAGTTTTTATTTGTATTCGAATTCTTCATTATTGGCGTGCGGTGGGTTCGTTAAACAAGGTATAAAAAAAAGTCTCGCCTTATATGATAATGATGGTAGTGGTGATGATGACGATGTTGCCAATGAGATTAGTAAAACCACTGAAAACACGGACAGGACTCAACGCCTAATTAATACACTTTTTCAATTATAAGAACAAGTTTTATAAAACACCGAGGAACAATTAAAAATAACAAATTGAGGCTGAGGTGTGCAATAAGGTTTTGATAAAACTAGAAAAAAAAATTAAGCTAGTCACATACTGTATACAGCCGAAAGGTGGCGGGGGTGGGGCGATAAAGAGTCAAAATTTACTGGTTCTTATAAAGAAAGTGTCACTAGGCTATACGCGCTAATATAGCTATACATTTAACGAAAGGAGATCGAAAACCATTTTGTTTTAACTAAAATACTATTTTGTTGTTATAGACTCTATGGTTGGTCATTTAAGCAAACATAATTTGTGAAAGAATTACGTGATAGTCGCGGCATTGTAAGTGCATTACTCAGAGCCTAATCATATTCGGAGCAGTGTCCTTAACTCACCTCTCTTCGGTTTCGCTTGAGGCATTACGCAATTGCTCAGGAATGTCCAATCAAGTAGCCCGTTATATGCATCTAAACCGTTTTTGTTGCAGCCCCGGACCTTCTGATTGGCTGGTTTCGTCACCACATGGATATCAACTGTTATTGTTGATTCACAAGTTCAGGTTGAGGTCAGCCTTCCCTGGCGTTGTGATATAGCCTATGGTTTTTGCTAGCTCTACTGAGAATAATCACACATTTGAATTGTTTTAGAACTGAAGAATATTTCTTTTCATTCTGTTCTTTTCATTGTATCTTCGTCCCAACAGGTAGGTTAATTCCTTCGTTTTGAAACATCTACGAACAATTTACGTGTGGAATTTCATTAGATTATCCTATCACAGACAACAACTGGGTTTTTCCTCATCGTCTGAGGTCGTCTAATTCTGTGTTTTGTGTACTGTTCCATCATTATTAGTTACGTAAGGGTGTGTCTCATTTCTAGCATATTTGCATATTAGTTTAATTTTCCAAAAACTTTTGTTTGTAAAAAACTTCTGCTCAATATTATGCTAGTCAGTTAATAGAGGAAACTTTACCTTGAATCCTGAGACTTTCAATGTAAAGTACCTTGGATGTTTTGCGTAATATTATGTAACCGCTGTGAACAACACAAGGCATGCGCCAGCAAGGTCTCATTGGCTGCTGCAACACAGCAGCGATTAGACCGTGCGAAGAACAACACTGGGCCTACGCTAATCAACTGAGAAGCTATAAGAAGTTAAACAGTGACTACTTTCGTGTGATTTTGGTGCTGTATATATTTTATTTCCCTCAGGATGGGTATTTTAGCCGTGAGTACAGTAAATGCGTCCTTCAAATGTTGTAAGCTAGGCTGTGATTTTTTCGTTTCTAAATTGGTGTTGGTAATGCAGGTGTATACGTAGGACGTGACTATACGGCTGTGTTGCGTCCTTCTGTGGCCTCAGAATTTTATCTGATGAATAAATAGATCCAGTCTTAACCTTAAACCAAGGTTGTACACATTAATTGTTAACATTGTGTCACCCCTCCGTTATTTTGGTAGGCAATCAAGTATAGAGAGAAGAGAAACAGAATGGCCGGTACAGAAGAAACGAATGACAACAATATCCTTCCCGTTACAGACGATACTGGTGATATGAAACAGGTGTGTTCTGAGCTGCCCGAGTCCACGATAAATGGCTCAACAAACATTACAAAAGAAAACTCTGATATAAATCATAGGAGTGATAATGATATTCAGGATAATCCATCCGAAAACGATGAAAATGTTTATTCAGGTGATTTGAAAATTGACGAGGCAGTGAGTGATTATGAAAACGATGGACCAGTGGACTACTCCCAAAAAGGTTTGAAAACTGCTTCCAAATCTGAGAAAGATTTTTTTAAAAACATTCCCGACAAATCAATGACTTTGTTTGGTCCATATATCAGTGGGATAAAAGTTCCATTCTCTGGAGGTATTCTCTATCAGGGAGTTGAATCTTCTCAGTTTGTTTCACCGTTACTGCATAAGACATCATTACCGGCAGACGTTAAGCCAATGCGCCCTTTCAAAGCATACAATGCTGCACGTGATCTCCTCTCCGGTCTGCCATCCCTCGCTGGATATGCGATCCCAGTGGGAGGCAAAATATGTGGTTCTCCGATACCAATCCGAATAAACAACACAAATAATACATCAGTGTCCCAAGGCCCGACTAATGGAACATCTGTTAGTTCTGTGAGCACGCATCTCATGACCTTAGCAACGGAAGCAGACAAACTTCGCCAGCAGAATTGTGACGGCGGTAAAGAGAAAGATAAAACAGAGAACAGTGTGAGTGAGGATGGGATGACCAGCGATGGAAATGATTCCTATAAGGAAGACATTAATGAATTCTACCCACAGGGGCTGCCGGAAACACAGAAAAAGAAAGGAAAGAAAAGGAAGTGTTCGCTAGCGGACCAAATGAAGGATGAAACGTATTGGGAAAGGCGGCGGAAGAATAATGAAGCTGCCAAACGTTCCAGGGATGCGCGCAGAGCCAAAGAGGACCAAATCGCAATTAGGGCAGCTTTACTTGAACAAGAGAACATGAGGTTGAGGATAGAGTTAGCAGCTTTGAAAGAAGAGATGATCAAACTGAGAGGTAGTGTTTATGGCAAGAATGATGTCTCTGGTAAACCCTCGTAGTAACAAGTAAAAATAAGTTTATGTCTGTGGTTATGTAATCAAAATTTTGATGACGAAATCAATGTTTGTGATGATGCAAGTGTTGGCTGCGATGAAAAAATGAAGATATGTGATCATATGTTGTTGGTGATGGTAGAGATGTTAATTGTTGCCAAAAATGTTTGTGAGGCAATGCAATAATTGCAGAGAAATTGCAATTGATGCATTACCAGTATACAGTATTTTGGTGATGATGTTTTTGATGATGATGCAAGAGATGTAAATGTGATGATGTCATTGTTGTGTGTGTGATGATGATAAAAGATGATGATAAATCAGAAATATCTGATGGGTGATATTTGTGTAAATATAATTAATACTTTTTGAAATACTGTAATGATGGACATTCATAGATTTCAAGATTGATAAATTGCACAACTTTATTTTGAAAATCGAAAATTAATATTTTCATAATCATTTGCCTCTTCAAAAAACACTTGTATATATACTGTATCTGCCGATCCATAAACCAAATCAAAGTGTATATTTTGCCGGCTATAATTCGAGCGTGCGTATCCTTAATATTAGGGTTGGACTGCGCCCTCACTAATAATCACGAAAGTCTTGCTTAATGGACCTTTCTGATGTTCTGATTGGTCAGTTGTGAAGTTCGAATCTCCGGAAAGCTCCATTGAATAGACGTTATATAGCGAATAAATATACGCTGCCAAACCAAAAAGTTACTCTGGTGTCTGTGACTATGAATGATCTTACACTGTACAGATACAAGCTTAAAATAGAGGAGTAAACCTTAAAGATGCATATATTTTAATATCTTTTCTCGAAATATCAATATCTTATAAACATTTTAATTTTTTGTCAAAGATTTTTTGATAGGCCTATACCATCATTTGTTATGCTTTTTTTTTTTAATTTTTAACAATGTTTTATTGCAAACTACAAATTCATATGTAATCCTTCCCTTATCAACAATGCCAAAGCGAGTATTCATTGTGGATTTAAAGGAGATTGAAGTAATTTCCTTAATTAATGTTTGTAATTAGTAATTAAGTGACATTTTATATCACGTTTACAAGTGTCTGATTTCCTAAATAATGTATTCCTTTCCTGTCCATATTGTACATTTTTTAATCTTTAAATGCACTCTGTAAGAATGTGTTTACTTTTTCTAGATATTATGTCATATCGATTTCATATTTATTTTATATATGAATTATCTTCGATATTCATACTTTAGTAAACTAAGAACTAAGATAGTTTAAGTGCCAAAAATAAGATCTTAATTTTATACTTAAGAATTACATATGCGCATGTTCGAAATCGCTACGTAGACCGCATTATTGGGGTGCTTTGATACATGCGCGTACGTAGGTTGGTCACGTACGCGTGATAGAGATATAATTATCTCTATGGTGGGCCATATCCTTTATTACCAAATACTGGTATATTATTTAATGTTTTTTTATGTAAATATCAATTTCAGTGTCTGCTTTTTATGATGTTTTTATATATTATAACTTGTAATTAAATTACATTGAAAGAATTAAACCAAACAAACTTTTAAAGCGGACGATAAACTTCGGAAAATAATATTGGGATTATGGGATGGGTTGGGAATAGGTGAGGGAAGTGCTATAACAATTAGTAATTCAGTCACATTGTCCGTCTTCCGACATCACGCGTTTCATACCGTGTTATCGGCGATATAATTTGTGTTTAAAGACTGAAACAGGCATTTAATGCTGTTGCCAAATGTTTTATATCGTATAGGCCACCAAGCCCTTAATTGTGTCAGCGTTTTTGTACGATGCTTGCTGTGTCGGACAGTAACGCACTGACGGACGTAATCGAATCGTTCTGATAACGTAGTTAAGGGTTCGGCGAGTATACTAAGAAGCCAAATTTGCCATAGTCTTTTAGACTAAAAATATTAATACATTTATTAAAACGGTAGACAAATTAATGTTGATTAGTTGTAATGGAGATTTATAAAGATTAAAAACAACTCTCATGAAGACAATTAAACGATCATTTTAGAATTCCTTAGCCAAGATTGTGTTTTCTTTTATTGTTGTACGTTTTTAACTGAGAGTAAAGTCTCGTTTCCTTGAAATCGCTACACTGTTGCTAGTGTTTTCAGTACAATCGTTATCCCGTGTAACAGTCCCCGACGCAATCGGGAAGGTTCCCCAATGATTCTATGTTTTTATGGCAGAGTAGAGTTAAAAGACCATGTCCCACGTAGTGGAGGGGGAGGAGCCGCAAGAATGTTTAACTTTAGAGAGTAGATTTAAAAGTCCTTGCTCAAAAACAAATAAATCGTCAGAGATTAATTTTTTTATGTACTGAATAATAATCCTTCAAATTCTTAAATTGTCGTTGCTTTAGGGACTTGGCCCCATGGACATCGGGGGAAAAGTAAAGGTTTCGTTGGGGAATACCCATATCAAGGATATCCCTCATGATACCATCTCCGGGGGGAATTGATGCTGTCTCTGGCCCGCGCACCTCTTATATTGTAAGTCAAATTGCTGAGATTTATGAATATCATTATAAAGAATTGTGTAAAAATGATTAAATGTGAGATTTAACATGAAAAATAAGATAGAAAGGTAAAAAGTTTTAAAGTTTAGAACATTTAAAATGTTTTAAACCGTATACAAAATAATTTAAAATGTGTTTTAAAACTCAATATCAACATGTTGTGAAGGTACTTCGTGATATACAATGAAGCAATCATGGCCTAACGTAAACAGAAAGAAAGCAAATCCCACCTGAATTTGAACTAATCACTGTAACGGATCTGAAATCAACTGTGAACAACATTAACATAACGGACCTTTCCCCCAAAGCCCCACCCCTTGGACCATGGTTGGGGCTGAGGTAAGAAAATTTGTGATTATGGCACCTCTAGATGGCCGGAAATTGCACTCTCAGAATTCAAATTTGAACATAATTTTCTTTATCTCTACATTTTTTTTTTTTGATGAATAATTTAGCCCCCCCCCCCCTGAAAGTCAAAGGCGAGATTGCTTTCACATCTCAATGAATTAATTATTTATCATGGGGGTATCCTTGATATAGGTATTCCCCGACGACACCTTCACTTTTCCCACGATGGATAAACATTATCCTTCTATAGTAGCCCAGAAATGATACTCCAAATGTGGCGGGTCCAGGAACTCAAAACAGAGGGGACCCCGGGAGAGTCTTGCGCAAATGGAATGGATGGGGGGTTGGGGGGGGCTCGATAATCAGTTGAGGGCGCTAATTCGCAAAATATGGTGATTTTAGGTGATTTTTAACTACTGTACTTGACCGTGATTTTTGACGAGGGGCCTGCGCCCACCCCTAGATACCCCACTGCTGTACTGACTGGGCTCCCCTTGAATCCTCCACTGTTCATTGTAACACTTGAAATAGCCTATCATCTTGTTTCATAAATGACTAATTCCTAATGTCAAGCGAAAGATTAACACATTAACTACTGTAAATTCTGTAGTTTTTAAACCGTCAGAGAACTTTATTTTTTTTAAATGGCCTAATTAATCTTAATCTTAATAACATTGCAGCGTTCGTAACATGACTGTTTGCCACTGGTGCTGGGAACAGTCACAAAAGTGGGTGGGGGAGGTAATGGCACCCCCTCCCCACGCAACAAAACTACAAAACCTCAGTGGGCTGTGCAAAGATTTTTTTTGTTGCAAAGAATTTTAATTTTTTTATTATGTGCGTACCGTAGGCCTACTGCATGTTCCGATTCATTTTTGTAAATCATTGTTCACGTGATGCAACAAAGAATAAAATACTGGATACAACGAATCCACTAAACCAACTTTATGATTACCTGAGCAAAGTAACTAATATGCCTGTCACAGAATGCTACTACGATAGGACTACTGGTTTTTTTTTGTTTTTTTTTTGTAAATCTTGTTCACACGTTACAGTTAATGAAAGATTCCACAGTACTAAAATTTATGATTTACAGCAAAATTACCCGCATACGCCATATTACTACTAGAAATTAACATTACAAATTCATATTAATAAGTTTTTGTTTTCATTCTATTGCCTTCGATTATTTCTTTATTACAGATGTATCTTTTCTTTTTTTTGTGTAAATCTTGTTCACATGTTACAATTAATGAAAGATTCCACAGTACTAAAATTTATGATTTACAGCAAAATTACCCGCATACGCCATATTACTACTAGAAATTAACATTTTACGAATTCATATTAACAAGTTTTTATTTTCATTATATTGCCTTCAATTACTTCTTCATTACAAATGTATCTTCTATAAACAACTAAGCACACTATGATCACAATAACTATGACAAAATACTTAAAGTGGCTGGATTGGTTGTCATTATCCGTGTTGCTTTCACAAGTGCGTTCATCATTCAGCTTTCCACAATTCTTCCCAGCACAACTAGTATTTGTTATGACATGTCGTGACCTGGTCTGCACTGCGTTTTCACAGGGAGACCAGCTGCTCCATTGGCTAAGTACGCAGTCTATGTCTTTACATTCACATAACTGACCACTGAACCCATACGGACATCTACACCAATTCTGTGACGGTTGCAAAGTTCCATTATTTTTGCAAAGTTGGCACTTGCGTTCCTCTCGTCGTTGAGTAGAGCACGCAGTCCCGTTGCATTGACGTGGTGTATCAATTGTACGTGTTCTCGACTGTTTTCCGCGGGCACCACTTACGGGCCTACAAACTGACCAATCACTCCATTCTGTCATTGTACAGTTCTGTACCTTACATTCGCAGCACTCACCAGTAAACCCACTTTGGCAATTACAAGAAGTAGGTTTATCCTCAGAATTAAGGCTTCCACCATTTTGACAAAACCGATTGCATGGGATTTCTTCACTTGAAGATGGACAGTGGGAACCACCACACTGTGGTCCTTTTTTAATATTACGTGACCGTGTTTTGGTTCCAAAGGGGCCACATGATTTTGAGCAATTTGACCAGTCGCTCCATTTTGTCATTGTACAGTCCTGTACCTTACATTCGCAGCACTCACCAGTAAACCCACTTTGACACTTACAAGAACGTCTACCCTGTGAATTGAGAATCTCACCATTTATGCAAAACCGATTGCATGGGATTTCTTCAGAGAGCTGAAGATGAGAAGGTGGACACTGATAGGGACCACCACATTGTGGGCGTTCTTTAATTTTACGTGATCTTGTTTTGGTTCCACCAGATCCACATGTTTTTGAACAGGTTGACCAATCACTCCATTCTGTAATACAGTTTTGTATGTTACATGTACAACATCTGCCACTGAATCCTGGTGGACAACTGCATTTTGAATTGTACATTGTTTCGTAATTGCAAAAATGATCACACGATTTGTGTTGTGTAAGTTCCCGGCATGTCCCACCACATTTCGCCTCCCTGATAACGTAGCGCGATCTATACGTGTTACCTTCGCATGGATTGAGACACGTTGACCATTGACTCCAGTCGGATAACTCACAATCGCGTCTGATACATGGGGTATCATACTTGTATTCACGTCTTGTATAGTTTTTCTCGCTGCCATTAGATAAAAAATAATATCCTAGGCAAAACAAGATTATAAAACAGCAACAGCATATCTCTGGTTTTTCTGAATCACTCATTTTATCTATTCTGTAAATGTGATGATGCGTGTTATGAATGAATCGACTTAAAGAGCTGATTTATAGTAAAAACAATTTTTAGCATGCATAAATTCCTTCGGAAATTCTACATTAGATTCGCACATTGCCAAAAGTTGTGCTGTGTACATGAATACTCATTATATTACAATTTCATAATATTTTAATTTATATAATTACAATTAAATTGATATAAATGATGATATGCTGTTGTATTTTTGCTAATGTAAATTATTTTAAATAGCCGTTTAACATGTATTTAATATATTTAAAAAATGTATTTAGGCCTAATGTCTCAAAGATGTGCATGTCCCCTAATTTTGAAATTAATCAGGAGCGGATCCAGGATTTGAGAGAGGGGGTTCAAAATGTTTCCAAAAACCCCAAAATGAAAGGGGGTCCGGGGGGTCTTCCGGGAAAATTTTGATTCCTAGATGGCCAGAAACTTGCTTTCCCGACTTTTGAGGAGTCTTTTAATCTTTAAGTTCTTTAAAATTCAAGGTTCCCCCCCCCCCATCTCTTGAAAGAACTCACTTTCGTACATAAATTATTACGACGTCGAACCAAAAACAGTGTGTATAATTTATTTTATTGAAAGACTAGTTGGGCTAAGCCTAGTTTGTCTGATCTGCCAACATAGGTATAGGTTAGCATGCCCACCCCCACTTTAATTGTTTTTTAATTATCCTATTTTTAGTTAGTCTTGTTCTCATGTCACGAGATAACACATTTAGTTCACATAGTCAGCATAATAATATTAGAATAGACTTAGTATCCAAGGCGATAGTATTTCGTTTTCAAGTATCTTTTTCTTGTAATGTAAGCTGGGAGTCAACATCGAGAGCGACACCAGTATGTGTACATAATCTCCCGGCGGGGGTCTGCGCTACGAAAACTAAACGAGTCAACAAAAAAAGGTATTCTAAATAAAATTTATCACAATAACATAAACACACGCCCGTCCTTATTGGATACTGACACAGTGTAAACACAGTATAACACTGGTTATTATTATATAGTGTGTCTTGTTATTGTTCTTTTGTGAACGGGAGATGACGACAAGTTTGGAAACAATCGTTCTACTTGCTATCAGTGATCCGATGGCGTACCGTTACGCAGTAAGAATGCGCTTCGGATGTTTGAGCCTTACGGTTCATCACCATGGTTGATGATGAGATAGAGTAAGGATGGCCTAAATAAGACTTAAATACCGTCAGGACATGTGATTCAACAAGAGAGAAAAAAAGAAATCGATCGAAGTATTGGTTTCGTCGAAGTGTTACTAGTCACAGACAAAACATCGTAGAAGAGAAGGATAATAATAGAATAAAGAAAATAAGTTCCTTTTCTATGATAGGCCTAATGTTGCGTCTTAAGAGGGGATTAAGTTGTGCCGTCAATAAAACCACCGGTTTGAGCGACCTGATCACAAACTCAGCTACAAACAAGCTGACGGAATTAGTGCCTCCGGCGATTAAATTTACCGCAGCGAATTAGACACAATTTGTGAATAGACCTAGGCCTACCATTTCTGACAATTTATTTTATTCATTTTCTGTGGAAAGTACTTGATTTTTCGCGAAGGATCGAAGTCGAATACCAAATCAAAGGACTATCACACTTTTTGAGCATGGAGGTATACTGTAAATGCATTTTGGAAAGCAATTTGGTCAAAAGGTAGGGAAACTGGTTAATGATTCTCACATTTTTATGATTGTTTCAATGAAAATATATGGTTTTGTTATATTAAATACCGATAATAGTTTTGGATTAAGTTGGTGGATAGATAGATAGATAGGCCTATTGATACTTACGATTGCCGCCTCTTTGAGACGGTACCGTACTGTATCCCTAATATTAAATGCATTAAGTAAAGATAAAACGTTATCCGGCGTCTTTATATAGACAGTGGGGTTACTCCACAGCAGTTAGGCCCTATGTTATTATCAAATTAGTATAATAATAATAATATTGTTATTATTATTATTATTATTATTGTTATTATTATTATTATTATTATTGTATTAATATTATTATTATTATTGTATTATTATTATTATATTATTATTTTTTATTTATTTATTTTATTATTATTATTAATCTTGTTATTATTATTATTATTATTATTATTATTATTATTATTATTATTAGACATATATTAGTATTTCATCAAGGCATTTTCCATTTATATTTAAATTTGCTAACATTTAAAGTTACCGAGATACCCCTTATGCCATATGCACAAGGTGTGTGATGAGCCTTTAGTGTAATTGAATTCCAAAATTCACGTTCTTGTTTGTGGACTGTCATCCCCCATACGCCACAAGTACGATCTTATTATACATCAGCCGCTCTTTATTTGGCATGCTGCGTTGAACGCGTTTTGCTCGCTTTGGCTCGTGCTAGCTTTCTCCAATTACTTTTCCCACCAATCACCATTCATTATCGTTTCTCAACAACTGTTGTATTATCTTCTAACAGGCTAGCTGCTTGGACGTACTTCATTTTCTAGGCCCTCCTTCGCAGCGGGAACTGACCAAATATGACACAAGGAAAACCACTACGGAGTGACATAAGCGCTGAGATTATTCATCGTCCAGATTCCGATGATGAGACTAGGGCTAGGGTTAACAATACCCAGATGCAGTCAGAAGGTGACGTGAAAACTCTCCTGAACTTTGTCAATTCAGCTTCTTGCGATATCAAGGCAGCGTTGGACAAGTCCGCACCCTGTAAGAAGTTGGTTGACCATAGGAAATATTTACAGAAGCAATTGAAACGTTTTGCTCCGAGCCACGAACACCAAATGGCTCTACCCCTTTCACATGATGTCCCTGTTGGATACCGCCATGGTATGGAATCACCGAGTGCAGGGGACGTCGCTTCAGACTTAGCTGTATTCCCAAAGCGAACCTCTAGGACTCACCTTGACAGCCTCGCAAGTTTGTCGGAAGCTAGTATGCACACCAAGCCTCGGAAGCGGCCTTACTCTTGCGTAAGTCAGTCGGCGCGTGATTTAAGCATCTCTACACATACTGAATTTAACAGTAAAGACATTCTAGGAAATGACGAAGAAAAGCATTGTGAAAACTCGATTCCGATGAGGAAAAGACAGTTACCGGCTTCGTTCTGGAAAGAACCGTCTCATAGCGAAAACCATAAAACTAAATCTACATCAATCGAGCTTTTATCAGATTTGTCTACTGTAAAGAAAAACCATTTTACAAGCCTTCTCATGAAAGATGCTTTTCAAGAAAAGGGTTTAATTTACCCACCCGTGTCAATTCCTTGTTTTCCTCTGCCTGCACCACCTCCCCCACCACCCGTTCTGGGCGTCCCATACGGTATGCCTTTTAACCCCTTATCATCAACACATTTTGGAGACCGTTTAGCATTGAATGCCCGGGGAGTTGATATAGGGACATGTCACTTGCCGAATTGCAAATGTTCTTCATTTTCTGATGATTCGAACTGGTTTGCTAGGCCATCCGGTGTTTTCCACGGGCACCAGATGCCGCACCAAGCAAATGGACTCAATTCGCCAGTATCGCGGCATTGGCCGCCTGTCGCTCTTTCCCTCCCGCTAAATGAACACTCAGACTTTTTTCACCCGCCTTTCCCAAGAATTTTGAAACCTGTAGCTACTAAATCAATTACAAGCTATCCAAACAGATTCCACCCTATCTATTCGTGATGACAAACTACGAACACAGAAGTATAATCGCAGAAGTGCTGAGGATTTACTTTGTTCAAATTGGACCTATCTGACAGGACAGTTCCTCCATATTGTCATTTGTACATTAGCGCATCATTTGAACATCGTGCTTAGCTATTCATGGGATCCGGCTCCGAAAATTATACCTAGTCCTAGGAGACCTACTGTCGAAATTACAGCGATGTTAATTTCAGGATGATAAGCTGAAATGTTTGGAAAATGCTTTTATCATTAAAAAAAATAATTGTAAAGACAATATTTACAGTAAAACTGTCAATTGCAATTCGGCGCTGGTAATTAATACAGTAATTAGGATCTGAGAGAGCGATAACTCGGGTCTTGCTGTGGTTTTGCATATTTGCATACGCCTCGAACAATATATCCCTCATCTTTACGGCTGTCTCTTATACACATCTAGATGTGTATAAGAGACAGCATAGGTATAGGGATATATATATATATACATATATATATATATGTGTGTATATATATATATATATATATATATATATATATTAACGGCCTATAGGCGTATATACGTATTAAGCCTATAATACTTTTCTAAACACCAAAGAAACCAACATTATTTACTTATCTTAAATGCGCCGTTATGAAAACAAATTCATAATTCTGTCATCAATTTATAAAAGGGTGTATTATTAGTAAACATGTTTTTGGTATACCGGTAAATATTTGTATAAACGACGCCACCAAACATTGTCTATTAGTAAACTAGGTATGATGGTACGGGTTTCAAATCAAATTTTTTAACATAAACATATCAATTATAATGTTGAGATGATTTGGCACATTGCCAGGTGTTATTGGTAAACTATGCCATAGGCGTATAACAATGTCTTAATACTGATTAATCTCCACAATCTTATGGTATGAACATATAGCAAGTGTGGATATAGAAGATAAACGCTACTGTAAACTTTCTTTATATTAGGATGTCAACTCGACACTTTGCTTTGAAGGAGCGTCCGTTTCGTATTTCACTTACGTATATTTTACTATACTTAAACATACAAAAAATGAGGAAAGATCAGTAATTGTATTTCAAACACTTGAAATCGATAAACGGCTCAAGTGATGTCAGTATATATGTCAATCATTATGGCTTTGGTTCAGGAATGAGTCGTTGAATGCCTCAAGTTGTTTCTAAGCCCCAGGCTGTTTTTGAGCCCCAGGCTACTAATCGATCTATCACTGGACAGCAAACGTATGTTATTGATTTTAGTCGCACTGAAAAAATACGTTTTCAGTCTGTGAAACTGTGTGACGTGTCGGTCCCGGAATTTTATAGACGGATCAAGTACAGTGTCGTCCCTATCTGCCACAATATTGTATTAAGTGTCGATAAAATAATGTATGAATAGCCGGGTTGGATGTTGTTCAGAACTCCTCGTAGTAACGTTTATTCTTGAAACATTCTCGTACTTTGCTACCGTACTTTAAAGTGTTTGGGAGAATTAATAGAATAATGTATCTATCCTAAGTGAACTGCCGTGTATATCTGATATTATTATGTTAATGTTGTGTTCTATTTGCTGTGAATGTGTTGACTCAACGCGTGCATTTCACATTAAAGTGGTATTCCCCATTTGTTTCACGTCATCGGTGTGCTAAGCCCATAATTACTCTGTAATCTCATAAACATACTGAATGTTCAATTTTGTGATTGGTTGCAATGCGTAGGCTCATTCAATTTACATGTAAACGCGCGCGTGTGACGTGAAACGTAGAAGCTACTTTAATGTTTCTTTTTATTCCATGTTCTCATAATTATGTTACTATTTATCATTTTTTAAGAAGCTTGCAACAATAAAGTACATCGTGTGAGCGTGAAAATAAATCCGAATTGTCTACTATTTTTAGAGTGAAAGTAGGTTTCACAATTTTACCCGAACCGAAATGGCTATCGGAATTTTAATGTGTTTGAGCATAACAAGTTGCCGACTTAACTGTTCAAAAGAAAAATGTCATCAATATACATCATTAATCATAATTTACTGAAGCACATGTGTTTTCTGTTCAACTGAGAATTGTCGCAATATAATTTACAAAGGTGTTTGCTTTCTGTCGTTTGCTATTATTTTCAGTCTTCAATGAACATGCAAATGTACAAAAGTTTGCATAGCCGACTGTAAGCGACGTGTTATACCATGGTTATACCTCCATTGTTATACAGATCTCTAGCTCAAATTCGCGATTTGAATTCGCCTTATTCAAATATAAATATACTGATAATTACGGAAAAGAGGAGTGAATAATCCCATATTAATGCTGTAATTTCCATTACGTGGTCAACTTTAATTATTCTTATCGATTATAAATTATTCTAATCGATTAAGGGTAATAATAAATTAATTATCACATTTCCTAGCCGAGGTTATAAAGAAGTTAACAGTTAAAGATGTACCCTATTGTCCCTTGCTACCAAAAAAAAAAAACCATAAAAAATATTTTTTTGAAATTGAACTTTGAAGTAACATAAAAGTTATGAACTTGAACATAGAAATTAGTGTATTTAAAAAATGTCTACCCATCAGTTTACAACGAAAAATGATAGAAACACTTCTAGTCAATGGAAGTGTTTTATTATTTTTATTATAATTTTTAAAAATCAGGGTACACATTTTTTAAATTCAATAATTTTTATGCTATTAAAGTTAATAATTTGTATGCTATTGCAATATGAGCAAGTTTTTTTCAAAATTATTTTTTTATGATTTTTTGACATTAGCAAAGGGCAATACATCTTTAATGTGTATGATTATTGGTACCAATTGATTGAATAGAACCCCATCGGATATGCTGTACATTAGGTACCGTACAACATAACCCGATTATGGAGGTGAGCGACCCTCAGCCCATGATGAGCTCTAGGATCCTTCTGATCCAGGAGGACAGTACCTGCAAGGGTCCCGCCTTGAGTGACAGGTTAATTGAACAAAAGTTTTTAATATTATTTAAATAATATATATACCGAGCATTAGAGCACAGAATTTGCTGGTCTCTCTGTAAAAAAGCAGTGAATATGTCAACTGATATTAGTCAATGACGGCTTGATGTCCTCAAGACAGATGACGGCTAACAAAACAATTAACAAACAAGTAACAGCAACAGGTCTTTCTCCAAATAAGACCACTTTTGAGACCTGGGTTTCCATTTGTTAATTTAGGACCACAGGAAAGTGGTCTTCGATTGGAGATTTCTTTAATTAGAGAGAAAGATCTGTATATAACTTAACCACTTTTTTATTACTTGTAGCTAACATATGTGTAACCCTCAAGTGTTAACCATATTTTATAAAAGTAAAAGGACCAACGTCTCTGTCAAAAAAGAAATCCCCCCGCAAAATATTGTGTTATTAAGAACATATACTATTCACAATTAATGAAATAATTATGTGAGTGTGAGAACAATTATATATGAGTGTTAAATCTTCCTTGTAAATTTGTCAGCTACCATACAAATCAGTTAAACTATACTGTTTAACTATTATTGATAATAATAATATAGGATAATATAGCATCCGCCGAACTTGCCATCAACCTTACGATCTTTTTACAGCCATACGTAAACATTAAACATACGTTATAGTTTAATCTCAGGTAGGCTTATATACCCGAAGCCGCAAACCAGCTTCCGACATTATTACTTTGTCGTAATTTCTATCGTTTTAAATATAATTTCATATCTTCATTGAGAAGCAGCTTTGGGGGGCTCAGCGGTGCTTATTTGCAATTGGTATTTGAAGCGAGTAGGGATTTAGCTTTTGATAGATTGCTTTCATCACTGGATATCGTTCTTAACCTCTTAAATCGAAGTAAACTCTCAATATACGAGATACAAACCCTTCTATATGCAGATGACATCCTTTTAATTACCGTTCTCAATGTTCTCCTAGTCTTCAGATTATCTCAGTCCGCATGCCTACGTCATTTTTCTTTTATTATTTCCTTTACTCTGGAACCATGGAAGTGTTCGTGTATAAGAGAGGAATTCGTCTTGGTTACTATGCCTAAGCAAGCGGTTGAGCTAAGAATGCAGAAGAGGCAGAAAAAACAATTGCTCCTTGACGGCGGACCATACAACGTCCGAAGGAACTGTCGAATCATCGCTTTGTTTGTTTACTATCAGACGAGCTCGTGTTTTAATAGAAGTTTGATTTGACTGTCTATGTTCTGAATGAAGAGGTACACATTTTCGTTCCCGTGTTTATCAAGTGCCCATGTTGCAACGATGTGCGATGGGCTATACCGACGCCAGATACCCCTGACCGACTGCAAACCAAACATCATTAAATTCTTTATAATCATTCATACAAAATATACTTTTTAATAATATATCATACACTGGCCGATTTGATTATACAATAAAAGATTTATAGCATAGGCCTATAGACCTACATGGCCATATTATAATACATTTTCACGATAATTAAATCTTACACATTATACACGTCGGATTGAATTCACATCTGAGGAGCGCTGGGGTTGCTAACATAAAGTGTTTATTTGAATTAAATGATACACAAAGCAGTTAAATTAGCCAATAAGCTTGTCTTTCTCTATGGATAATTCAGTGGCTAATAATCTGAGATATATATTTATATCCTGAAACAAATATTGCATGTAGTAAACATATGCCCACCAACTATGACGTCAGCGTATTCGATCGCGTAGCACCTGCAATACGAGTTCCTGTCTTTTAACCAAAAAAGCCTTATCACGTGATACGTGATTCTCCTTTTTTTTTCACGAATATTTTAATTACATTTGTTTTTTTTTAAATAGTAAATTCTTACTCGTGCGTTAGATGTGTCTATAACTAAAGACATGTGCCCCTTACTACAACTAAGCCAGTTACGTAATGGAAGCTCAAGGGCGTTACTTTAAAAACAGACAATAATAAAGGGAAAATTCAAGTGGGAGTAGGCCTCCTCCTCCCCCTCCCGAAATTGTTGCATTTATTTTAATGGGGAAAAAAAAGAAAATATTTGATAGAGTAATTTTCGGCCATCTAGAGAAGGTGTCAGAAACATAAAATTGCATGCCTCTTTCGTCCAGTCCACACCATGATGGGGCTGTGGTATTGTTTGGACCCATTATAAATTTTCTCTCTGGCCTAACCCGCCCGCGCTATTTCTCATTCCTGGATCTGACCCTGAGAATGATTATGGGATCAAAATTATGTATGACGGCAGAAATGCTGATGCGATGTATCTTAAAATTGACGGTCAAGGTCACATTTATTCTACGTATTTCTTTTTGATTATCTTGTTATTACAACTTTTTGGATTTAGGTGTCTGATCATATGATTCGGAGAAATCGATTGCTTAACCCTGTGACGTGTAATTGGTAGGGAATATCAAGAAGGGC